TGGTGCTGATGGAGAATAAACTGTCATAAGCACAAACAAATCCATCCTGGAAGAAGTACAGCCAGAATGCTCCTTCGAAGCAAGCATGTCGAGACTCTGTCTCACATACTTTGGATACGGTACAGCAGAGAGGAAGTTAACTAGAGGAAGCCCCTGGACAAGACAGAGAGCCGCAGATGCTGCCACAATGGGCTCCCACACAGCAACAAGTGCAAGGCTAGCAGAGGACCAGGCAGTCTTCCTTCTGTAGCACGAAGGGTCGCTAAGGATCGGAACGGACTTCGTGGTGGCTAACAGTAGCATGCACCACTGGAAAAAAAATGTAGGGGAGCGAATGTTTTAATGCTTTCAATATCATGTTACCTAAAATGTCACCTTGTTGAATGACTCGTAAATAAATCCTGCTATACGTACTCAAGGATGGTTAATACTGGATGATTAGTTCTTAATTCTGACTGTGTTGATGATGCAATTGTAAAACAAGGTTATTGGGTAAAAGTGTAACTGTGGGAATATATACACTCAAAAGCCTGGACCTTTTCAAAGTGGCAGCCTTTGGGGACGAGGTGGGTGTGGTCACATGCTTGCCCAGGACTTGTTCTAGAACAAACATTTGGACACCCTTCTTGAGACGTGGTTTTGGGACCACCCACATGCTCAACCAGGACACTTGCAATGGAAGCAAATGCGCCACGTAAGAGCATCTGAATTTGAGAAACAGTTAAAAACCATTCAGAACCAACTCCTGTGACGAGGATGCTTGATGGAGAGTCCTTGGAACCCCAGCGATGGGCCCAGGAAGCAACAATGGGTGAAGAGCAGGATTCCGGAGAGTTTGGGTCAGGAGTGGGCCTCGCCGACACTGGGCACAGGAATGCCTAGTGTGTCCTGAGCAACAGCACTTTGCACTGTGTGGACAGTCCCTGCTAAGAACATATTGGAATCATTGGAATGATAATCAAATTGTTATAATTACTAATGAAATGATTGAGTTATTTTTAATAACGTATAATTGGCACAGCGATTTCCAGTTCACAGAGCACGTTTACTTCTATTTCAGAAGCTTTTTATAATGAGATGGTGAACGAACGACTCAAAGAGCATGAGTTAGAGATTATTTTCTAAGACAGATGGTCATTTACAAAGGCAGCCTGGTAAGGTAGTAGATTATGCGGTGGGTGGCGAACCTCACGGGCAGAGTTTGAAACCAGCAGCTCTGAGGGGGGAAAGGTGAGTCTTTCTCCTCCGGTAAAGAGTTACAGTCTCGGAAACCCACAAAGGCCGCTCTACTCTGTCCTATCAGGTTACTATGAGTGGGATTGGCAGTGAGAGTCACTTACGAGGATTCGTTGACTTGGCCAATGTCAAAGGATTAGTAAATCATAAAGGAGCCTTACACCAGGACTCGGGTATCAACGTTAGTGATCTGATATCAATCTTTTCTTAGTCATATATATCATACTTCTGTCTCTGTCTCAGTTTGTTAAAGGTCAGCAGTTTTCATCCATATTATCTTAGGTTTGTTCTGCATACCTTTGGAGAGTCAGGCCAGAGAGAGAATGCCCTAAGAGCCTCTCAAACAGGCCTTCTTCGATGTGCCAGTGTTCCTCTTCTGAGAAAGTGACTTACACTTTAAAAGCATCTATTTGACTTCTCATAAGGATTATTTGGAAAACGGAATGCCCTTGCAAGGAGTGATTTCGTCTCTTTATCGGTAACTTACCAAATGTTGAAAGTGTTTCAGACTGAACTTGCTGTAATGCAGCTGGGGGCGAGGGTGGGCTAGTATTTCTTGGTGGCCCTCGATTTCCCCAACTGTGAAACGAGGGGCTTTAATTAGATAATCTTTAACCCTCTATAACTTGGTAACTGTAGAACAAATAGCTCTTCTGGAATATAGGTATACACCGGTGATAGTTTTTGTGCACCATGGCTCCCATAGGGACATGTGGGCGAAGGTTAGCCTGTCAATCAGGTCGCAGCTTGATTGGAGGGCAACCGAGATAATGACTTTGAGGCCGGCCTCTCCCTCCTTCTCCCCAGTGATTGGACCAGCGCTGCTGCCGCCTGAGTTAGCTGCTCTGCTGGTGGATCTCGTCACTGTGCTGTGCTACACCTTGAGGCTCCAGCTCGACCTGCTTCGCCACGTACCCCTGGCCTCTGCTATGACCCCACATCTCCTCTTCCTGCTGTTGCCGCCTTACCTTGCTGAGTCTTGCTGCCTGCGGACCAACTCAGCCTTGCCCTTCCTGCCAGCTAATTCGCTGTTTCCTTGACCTTGGATCAGTGGCTGGTGTGGTTTGGAAGGACCTTCAATATATCAACTGCCCCATGAAAGTGAGGTGGACTGAGCATGGTTTTCCTTCTCACTATATAAACCTATCCTTTTATATATATAAAATCATAAGTGTCCTGGTTTAGTTTCTCTAGAGAACCCTGCTTAACACAACACCAAACATTTTTAAAAGGTTAGGTGAAAGGGGTCACAGGAAACAAGCTGTAAGTGTGAGATGTTGAATTAACCACAGTTTAGTGACATGTTAGGAGCCCTGGTGGCACAGTGGTAGGGGTTGAGCTACCAACTGAAAAGTCAGCAGTTCAAAACTGCCAGTCACTCCTTGGGAGAAAGATGAGGCTTTATACTTCCATAATCGAGGGGGGGGGCGGGGGGGAATGAGGAGCTGATGCCAGGGGCTCAAGTAGAAAGAAAATGTCTTGAAAAAGACGTTGACAACATATGTACAGATGTGTTTGACAACATGGTTATATGTATGGATTGTGATAAGAGCTATAAGAGCCCCCAATAAAATAAAATTTAAATGTTTCATAAAAAGATGGGATTGATGTACATACATATTTTAATAAATTAACCAAATATAACTAAGTTTCACACATATTCAAGATACTTAGATATTGCTAACCTGTCAAGGTTAATGCTTGATATCCCTCAATAACATCAGAAATGACTTTGTGCTATACATTTTTTAATTAAAAACTGTACATGGGGGGAAAAAAAAGTAACCATCTTGGAAGCCCACAGGGGAGTGCTACTCTGTCCTCCAGGGGCACCATGAATCAGAACTGACGCGACGGCAGTGAGTTTTAAGCTTATCGACATGGTATGTTTGGGCTCAAACATAACGACTGTGAGGATGGCACAGGACAGGGCAGTGTTTGTTGTGTTGTACACAGGGTCACTATGAGGCAGAACCAACCCAGCTACACTAACAATGACATGCTGGTCAGCTGTTGCTAGGGCTTCACTGTGCACTGTAGGATGTTCAGCAGTATCCTTAATGTCCATCGGCAGCACCCCCTCCCCTACTGCAGCAGTCAAGACGGTCTGTTGTTGACATAGCCAAATCTCCCATTGTTGTTGTTGTTGTTGTTAGTTTCCCTTGATTGGATTCTGGCTCATGGGGACTCCGTGGGTGCAGAGCAGAACTGCTCCCGAGGGTTTTCTGGGCTGTGGCCTTTCAGAAGCAGACCAGCAAGGCTGTCTTTTGAGGCACCTCTGAGGATTCAAACCACCAGACTTTCAGCAATCAGCCGCATGCTCAACCACTCACGTAACGGACTCCCTAGCCACACTCGCTGCTATCGAGTCGATGCTGACTCACAGAGATCTTACAGGGCAGGGCAGACCTGGCCCTGTGAGGTTCCGAGACTGTAACTCTTCATGGGAGTAGAAAGTCCCATCTTTCTCCTGAGGTTCGGCTAGTGGTTTTGAACTGCTGACCTTGTGGATCGCAGCTAACTAATAACCATGACACCACCAGGAACCCTTAAATATCTCCTAAGGAGGGTATAATCGTCCTGTTGAAAACCATAGGTTTATGACCACAGGGAATGGAAATTACATAGGCTAACTTGAAAGTACATGTCCTAGTTAAAGGTACCCAAGCTCAAATTTAAAAAAAAATTCTGGTTGGCATGATTCTGCATCTCTCCTCAGCCCCCATACCCCCCTACCCACAACACACTCACATACAGACAGCTCATCAGCAGTTTCTGAAACAGAACACATTCAGGCTACAAACTCAGTCAGACCAGGGATGGACTTCCATGTTTCCCATAATAACTACTGAGACCAATCCTACTCGGTTTTTTGAAATGCTAAATAAGCATAATGATATGTTATTAGATGAACCATGAGGTGAAAAAAGGCAAAGTAACTAACACAGTATTTGGCAGATAGCAAAACCTTCACTGGATTTCTGCTGATAATTTATGAAAGAAGATACTACATAGAAAATGCTCTGTTAATCACATATAATGTCACATGACTACTTTCTTCGTGAAAACGTCATAATTTCCAAACAGAAATTGATCTATTTCAATGGGAAAAGTCTGTAATAATAATAATAATAATATTAAAACCCATTCGTCTTACTTAGGTTATTTTAATAGGCCCAACTTGTGAGGGCCGACATGTCTCTGTCTTTTCTCCATCATGTTTCCTCTCCACTGGGGGTGCTCTCACAGACACCCAACCAGACTCCACATTTTACTCAAAGGAAGCCGCAACAAAACAGTAACTTGACTATTTTAATTTCTCACAGATACATCTTTACAAAAATATTACGATTCCTGTGAAGAAACGTGGTCAGAATCTTTATCAGGTGCCATATGATGTCAGAGGAAAATGTTCAACGAAAAGAATGAAGCCCCGTTCTTCTGGTTGGACCATTATGTAAAGCAGCCCTCATGAAACCCGACTATGGGGCCACAGTGTGTTCATTCACAGTCCGCACAAAGAGTGTTGCCCCGGTGCCTCTGTTACCCAAACCGATCAGAACGGACGGGAGGTTAAAGCTCTAGCTAGCATCCTGGTCACTGATGAAGAAATGCTAACTTGCTCAATAGTAAGTTAACTTACTATTTTACTCGTGAACTAATTAAACTTTGAGTAGATTTTTTCCCATCCCTAATGGGAGCACAGATGTTGGACAACTAAAAAGGAAAACAGAAAAATCAAAAACCACCCCAGCTAATCATACCTGTCATGTCTCAGAGCTCTCATATCAACATACACAGTGGTTGGGTCAGGTCCAGAGGTCCCCTGTAAACAATGACAGACTGTGGTTAATTCAAGTTTGAGGGGAAAGCAATCTGGCTCTTGTGCTTTCTACTAACTAGTAATAAGCATTTTCTTTGGAAAAATCTTAAACAGAAATTAAAAAAATATTAAAATCACTGGAACCATCGCTCTCCAAGATACCTGTTAACTTTCAGTTTGATCTTCTACATTTCCAACGGAACATTTTATTAAGATAATACTAGATAATACTGGTCTTTTATACAGCTTGACTCTTAAGTCATAGAAATCAAAATCAGAAATCAGGGAGCCATGCTACACATTTTGATAAAGAAAGAGGGCTGAAATGGTTGGCTGGCAGAAGCAGGTGTCATGGTTACGAAGCGTCATTTGCGGAGAAACCCTTATGGCATGCATCCCTCAAGGTAGCTACGCAGCGCTTCCGGTATGGAAACTGATACGGAATAAGAGCGCGATTAGAGATCATCATTTCATTCCTTTCCATCCCATTTGCTCCTTAGTTTGCCCTACAACTTCAGGAGGTTACTTGGAGCAGTGTGGGAGACTGGATGTCTCCCAGAGTCAGTTGGGCAGGATTTTGTGGTCTTGAGCTACATACTTATGTAGTGCAGGTGGCCAGGCATCTTGTCTTGATATCATAAAACCCTTAAAAATATGCCAGGGTGCCCTTCGACCAGGCATCTCCATCCATTTAAGAGCAGTGTTGCTCAATCAACATCACAAACCAAAATTTTACCTAAGTGTCTCAGTTTCAACAGCTAAGTGGAACGGATGAAACTGAAACCCAGATTTACAGAAAATAAGAGAGCCCTCAAAACGTATTTACGTAGTGCCACACCCAAATCCTCCCATAGCGGACCCTTACCTTGTTTGAAAAGCATGGTTAAACATAAGGAAAACAAGTAACCATAAAGACAGCTTCAGTCAAAAGTATGCTGTACTCTCGATACCCCTAATCATTAGTATCCCACCACCAAGAAAGAGAAAATGAGCAGCACATGCAAATTAGCCTCTGAGTGGAAGCTTACAGTACAAAACAAAGAATATTCTTTCTAGCTCCATGACTATTCCAGAAAGCTGTGTTACAGACTAGCACTGAGTGGAGAAGTGGTTGGATGTTTTGAGTAATGGGAAACATGTGACAATAGAAAGGCCAATTTAAAACAAGCAAATCATAAAACAGATCATTGAAAGTGGAAAATGAAGTGAAACAGATGAAGCAAATCATTGGTCATGTACGATGGAAGTAGAACATTAGTCACAAGTGTGAAACGTTTGAAGAGTTCTGAGAAAATTGCATCACCCTGGGCCATCTGTACTCTTGCATCACAGGGTCTAGAGCAACCCCTTCCATCAGTCTCTGCACTCAACTTCTAGTCTGTCCCACTGCTGGCAGCCGCTAAGACAGGAGGTAGGGTAGGCACTGGTATGGAGTGAATGGAAAATCCCCTACCTGCTCGGCCAGCTTCCACAGCCTGTGAGGCTATAGCAACAGGAGGTCAGGATCAAGAAGAAAGGAGAGAACACCAGACCAACAAAAACCAAAAATAAACACAAAGACACACACACACACACACACACACACACACATCAACAAAACAACCCAACAGTGAAAAATGGGATGAGGAAGAGGGAGGGTCAGGAGGAGAATGCAAAAAGCAGGGAACAAAACAAAAAGATCAAAACCAACATCAAATATGGAAATCATTAAAATTAATCACTGTACTATTCAAGACTAAAAAAAAAGTTTTAAAAAGATGTCAACATATCCACAGAACAACAGAAGAGAGAGTAATAGATGACTAACCACAGATATATAAAGCTATGTGATTTTTCAATACATGAGGACAATGACATTGCTAGACAACTTAATCATATATTACTATTGTTCTTTTTTCTAGTTTTAAGTTTCTCTCTTTTTTCTCTGAAAAGTCAGAGTATGAACTTTATTGGCTTAATCTGCTGACCATGCTTCCATTTAAACAGCTCCAGTTTGCTGACAACAATGAAGGCAAGCCTTGAGGCTTTTATACTTAAGATGAGCATGTGGGGGTATTTGGGAAAATGGGGGTGGGGGAGAATGCAATTCAAAGACTAAGAACGTTCTAAGAACTTTTTGAAGTTCCCTTGTACGCAGCCCTATTCTTCTACAAGATGACTTGAAGAGGTAAATGAAATATATATTAAATAAGTTGGAACATAAAGTGCCCAAACATTGGGCAAGCCGAGTAGCCCATGACTCGTAACTCATAAAGCAGGGGCTCCCGCTGCTTTACTGCTTTAAGGATCCTGGGCACTGCTCACAGCTCCGGCTCCAAACGAGCGGTGCCTTCACCCAGAGTCAATGCAACGTCATGTCCTTTTCTTCGTCATCTTGTGTTCCTGGTACCACCCGCTCCCCCTATGGAGCTATCATCTATCTATGCCCGCCAACCCTCATCTCCTGCAATTACAAAGCCACTTGGCAGACTTCAAAGCCAGTAACACCACAGTAAAGAAGGAGCGCTTCACCAGCGTGCTTTGGGCTGCAGCTTGGTAGTAAACAGTTTGGCAGATAGGAAGCCCTCAGAAGAAAAACACACTCACTGCCATCCAGTCTGTCCTGACTTACTGTGAACTTAAAAGACAGGGCAGAACTGGCCCTGTGGGTTTTTGAGGCTTTAAATCATTTCAGGAGCAGAAAGCCCATCTTTCACACAGGAGCTACTACTGGTGGGTTTGAACTGCTGATCTACGGATACGTGACCGAACACCTATCCTACTCTACCACCAGGGCTCTGATGCCATCACTGAAAACTGATGCTTAAAATGCTGAAAAGAGTTCACGGTTTTCAAAATGATGATTGCTTCCTTCTTTCTATTACTCACATCATTATGGTAATTTTGGCTCCCACTATCCTTCAGGGTCCAGAGGCTACACATGCAGAAGGGATTGAACGGTGGCAGAGGCATGCGTACTTCAAATGTGCAGAGGTATTTTACTGGGCAGATTCATGCCGGATGCAATAATCTCATTCCTTCATGGAATAAAAATTCATCGTGTTTCCTCTAAGTTATTCTAACTCTCAAATTTTCTTTGTAATGACTCAAGGTAGTGTCTCAAGAAACATAAAAAACCCATGTTTGATTGGAAACTAATTTTCTATCTTGTCTATGTGTGACAGAAACAGCACGTGTCTAGAGCAAAGTAGATTTATTGGATTAATTTTTATCAAAGAATAAATGATGCGAGAGATAAAGAAATTAAAATTCATGGATTTCAGGGGATTTGTTTGATTAGTAGTTTAAACTGTTGAATACAAACTTGATGGTATGAAATGTAAGCCCCCACCTTGTTTGCAATAAAAATGCGTTATTCAAAATAAAATGAAATGCCAATGTTTCCACATTTCAAAATACCTAAGATACAAAAATCTGACTTTTTAAGGTATGTTTCGGGAGTGTGAATTTAACAAAATTTTCATTTTGACCCAAGTTCCCTTAAACAAGGAGATTCTTGATACATGTAAGTGCCCAAAGTGCTTAAAGAGCACTACATCAGAAAGAAGAGAGAGTGAGTGCATTACCTCCTTGCATAGAGGACCAACAGTTAAGCTTATCAGTCCAACTAAAGCTTATTCAGAAATGAAAATAGAGCATTTCTGAGATCACAAGTTAATGAGAAAACAGGATTCACTTGAAAATTCAATTTCATAATAAAAAAAAGTTCCATATAGGTTAGAGATATTGATATTAATAATCATTTTATTTAGCAATATAAAAGAGTTCCTGAGACCTAGGTATTAAGTGTTTATGGAACTAATGAGTTCTATTTAAGTCTCAGCTGCAGCTGCAGCAAATGCCAACCCAGAAACCTAGCCCAGTGCTCTCATGGCAATGGTACTCCAGTGAAGCACACAACATAGCATTAGAACTACTGAGTACCAGCGCGGAGCTCCTGAAGCGTAGTGTTCAAATTTCCCTAAGTATAAATGCATGGAATAAACAACAAAAAAGAAATCCATCATACTGATTTTGGATATATCTACCCTACTAGTAGTATGAGGAGTCAAAACAGCTTGCATAAGATGTTTCAATACAAACCACACTTCCGATTTAAAGGGGAAATGCCATAGTGATTCCTTCTTTGTACTCTAAAGTGATTTCTCTATTCACATGGAAATGGGATGTTACAGAGACGGGCTGCCTTCGGAAAGCCTCACTACTGTGCTCTAACATTTTCAAAACCCGTAACTGATGAGGGGACACCCCTGCCCAAACACAGTCTGCATTGTCCACTGCTGGCAGCAAAAAAGGACATGATGCCCCTGCCTCCAAACACCTTCATTTCGAATCTGCTTCCTCCTCCTTGTTCTTTGTTCTGGCCACACAGGCTGACGCAATCGTTCAGTCTTTGAAAATCTGAACGTCTTCCCTGTCGACCGGTCTTTTCTTGGTAGCTCCCCTTAACTAAAATGATCTTGGTGCACACAGTAACACCCTCCGCTGCTAATTGAAGGGCTGAAAATTAGACTTGATCCACAGGTGCCTTGGAAGAAAGGCCTGGAGATCTGCTTCTAAACAACGCAGCCTTTGGAACCTCTCTGAAGCAGACTCATCTGCCAGGAGTCAGCGTTGTTGGCTGGGTGGCAACTGATAGAATTTTTTTCCCTTCCCCTCTCTCACTTGCTACCTCTAATTTGGCTTTCAGAAGTCAGCAGAAATCAGCCTTGTAGAGAGGCAGAGAAGTAGGGTTACATCTCTCTGGGCATTTAACACTCCAAACTTTTTCATTTGAATGATCTTTGGTTCAAGTCTGCCTGCCCCGCTCATGTGTATTTGGCCAGGGCCAGGTATGTGCATTTTGCTCTTTTCCACTCTGTCATATCTTGGTGCTGGGCTCTGGGAAAACAGCGAAATGGTAAAGCAAAAGCAGGTATGAACCTACCCTGTGTCACATACACGCTAGAGGGGTATTTATGAAACACATGAATAAGTGATTGCCACAAAGCAACCAGCTAATCTTGGGAGTCTGGAATAGGTTGACTTTTCTTCCTAGCTAAACAAAACCCATTCATATTTTGCTACTAAAAGAAGCTAAAACATTTCATTAAAGATTTGAAAAGACCAAGATACTGGTCTCTCTAAGTTGGGAAGTGAGCTTTCCCAAGATGTTTATTTCTTCAACTTGGCATACTCTTTAATTATTATGTCTCTTTTATATTACCAACACAGTCCTTAGCTAGCACAGAAAATGCAAAGTCTTAAATGCCAGTCAGTACCATATGTAAGATTGTGGGGCAGAGACTGAAGACATAAATATGAACAAGGCCCATCTAACTCCCAGGACACAAGTTGCAGTAGGAGACAACAGACTTGGAAATAAATGCCCAATTAAAGGAGATGACGAACAGTGCTCTAGTTCATTTGAGCCAGGATGTGGACAGCACACAACACAAACAAGGGGTTTAGAGATTGTGCCACAGCTGAGGTACCATTCACACCGGGTTTTGACAGATGAGTGCACCGGACTGAGGTCAGGCTGGGGTTGGGCACAGAGGCAAGCAGGCATGGTGGATAGCCCGGCATTGGGGAACAGCTGAGGGCTTGCTATGCTGGTGCTGAGGTCCCTGTGAAACAACAGGGGACGAGAGGTGTGAAGACTGCACCTGAGGATCAGGTTAGTAAGGGTGCTGTCAGTTTTGGATTTGTGCTGTGGGTGACAGGGATCCGATGTATTTTATAAAAATCGAAATTTCAAACTTTTCTCTAGCATTTGTCATAACTTCACCTTTTCTACTTTTTAACTTAACCACAATTAGAAATCATGAAATTAAAGAACCGAAGAGTCAAAAGACTAATACAAGTCCATTTTAAATATTATTAACGATCTAAACCTGGAGAAACATTTTTCCATGATAAAGCTATTTCACCCCTTTAGTCATAAATCTGATTACTTAAAAGTGACCAAAACGTGTAAAAAATCTATTCAGAATCAACCACGGAGCAAAAATGCAAGAAGAGTGGCAGGAATTTACTCTGGGACAATCTTAATATACCCTTGGGTCCTCCCAGTTAGCAGTTAATACACGGAATCCTATTTGCTACTTGGTTTCAGTACTCTGGTCTCCTCACTCCACTAACTCTGCTACCATTTGGGGGTACATACTTACCCTGGAAATTAGAGTAAATTCAGTTAGAACTTTGGATTAATCTAGAGGTATCGCGAATAGGTGCAATGACTTGTTGGGTTAGTGCACCAATAAATTGCCTAAAGGTTAAAGGGGAAAAGTTTTAAAGTTTCTCAACTTAAAAGTTTGTTTGTATTTTTAAAATCATTTTTCTGCCTTTATATTTATAATTTTAGTGTGGGCTAAAAGAACGCTGAAATCCTTGGGGACCTTTCCAGGAATCCACAAAATCAAAGCCATTTTCAAATAAATCCCAGATGTCTGTTAGTCACTTCTACTTGTGCTGACATTCGCCCTAATGATGTCATGGCCA